CCCTTAAGAAAAATACCGCTTAGAGAGAAAGGAAAGACCAAGCTGTTGGCTAGTTTGTGGGCAGAAGTAAAGGATGAAAAAGAAGCAAAAGCATCAGAAGGAAAACAGGATAATGAAGCTTACAGAACTGGAGGTACTATCAGTATCTATGATGAATTATCAAGAGGATTATTAGCTACCCATGTTCAAGACGAAGCAAGAAAAGAGTTACAACAGATATCAATTGGGGAGGAAAAGGAATCAAGCCAGGAGTTCACTACAGATTCCACAAGTTCTGATGGGAACATTGAAGCTAAGGGGGGAATGGAAAGACAGAGCAACTAAAGAATGAGGATCCCAAGGCTTAGGAAGTGGCCAATGAAGCTAGGAAGGTGGAAAGGAGAAAGTGGACAAGAATTATTAAAGACAAAACTGCAAGCTCTGAGCAACCTTAGAGTCAGGGATACTTGGTGACTGGGAAGCGTGGGGTTCCAGATGAAATGGACGTTGATGTGGAACCCTCTTTTGAAAAACGTCCTAAAGGAAACTACTCTCTCGATTCGGATGGCGGTGTGGCGGTCCTTGCCTTGAGCAAGGCCGCCGAGCCCAATGAAGATTATAAGTTACAACTGTCGTGGGTTGGGAAACCCCATGGCAGTTGCTAAAATAAAGAATCTTGTCCGAATTCAAAAGCCTCAAGTTTTATTTCTTATGGAAACTAAGAAAGATGAAAGTGGATGGAAAGATATTCAGAGGGAACTTGGCTTTCATGGTGGGTATGGAGTTGCTGCAAGTAATGAAAGGGGTTGAAAGCAAGGGGATTGTGTCTGCTGTGGGATGAAGAGTTTCTGGTCACAAAAATTGATTCGTCTCTCCACCATATTGACGTAATTATTTCCTCAAATGATGAAAATGAGAGGTGGAGGTTTACTGGCTTTTACGGTTGGGCTAACAGTGGGGAGAGATTCTATTCTTGAGACCTTCTTAGGAGATTGAGGAATGGTTGTAACCTTCCTTGGTTGTGTATGGGAGATTTCAACCAGGTGCTATCTGGTGAAGAGAAAAGGGGAGGGAGACCTATTGATGAAGCTAATGCTATGAGCTTTAAGGAGGCTTTGGAGTTTTGTGGTCTTCTGGATTGTGGATTTGAGGGTTATCCCTACATGTGGGAAAACAACAGAGACAATGAAAAATTCATTGAAGAGAGGTTGAATTGCTCTGTTGCTAATTGGGAATGGAAACTTTTATTTCCAAATTATCAGGTCTTTCATTTGGAGAAGTGTGGCTCGGACCATTGCCCTGTCTTGATTTATACGGCTGGTAAAGAGGACGAAGATATCAAATGGGGGTGGTATTTTAGAGTTGAACCCCTTTTGCTCAAAGATCCTGAGTGTAGTGCTATTATTAGCAGAGCTTGTGAGGCTAACTCTCATGAAGACCTTATGAGTATTATCAAAAGCTGTAGATCTGAACTTCTAAGCTGGAGCAAAAATAAATATGGAAATATTAGGAAGAAAATTGACAGAATCGAGGAGCTGCTCAAGAATTTCAAGTACAAACCTAAGTCCAGGATTGTTCTTGATCAGAAAAGGGCTTTGGAAGCGGAAAGAGCTAAACTTATTTATCAGGAAGAACTGATTTGGAAGCAGAGATCGAGGGCAGACTGGATGAAAGGGGGAGATAAAAACACTAACTTTTTTCATACTAAAGCTACTGCCAGGCGCAGAAGAAACACTATTAAAATGCTTCAGGATGAGGAAGGGAGGCGTTTCAAAGGACAAAAGGAAGTTATGGGATGTCTTACAGATTTCTATAAGACTCTGTTCAAGAAAGGTTCTATTCCAGACTCTGACCATGTTATCCAGGCTTTGGGGAGAAGGATTAGCCCCTCAATGAATGAGAGACTGATGAGACAATTTAAAGCTGATGAAGTCAAAACAGCCCGTGATCAAATGAGCCCAAATAAGGCCCCTGGATCTGATGGCTACTCGGCAGGTTTCTTTCAAAAAAACTGGGATGCTATTGGACCCAAGGTAACTGACACTGTCCTCAATTTTCTTAATAATGGGGTGCTACCATCTGAATTAAACCATACTCTGATTGCCTTAATTCCTAAGGTGAAGACACCTACTATGGCTAAAGATTTTAGACCTATAAGTCTATGTCGAGTGGTTTACAAAGTCATTTCTAAGATTCTTGCAAATAGACTGAAAATGATCCTAGATGAAATTATTTCGGAAGAGCAGTGTGCTTTTGTGCCTGGAAGGTTTATTACTGATAATGTTGTTATTGCATTCGAGTGTTTTCAGTTTATGAAGAACAAGAAACAGGCAAAAGATGGTTTTTTTGCTGCTAAACTCGATATGGCCAAGGCCTATGACCGAGTGGAATGGTTCTTTTTGGAAAAAGTGATGCAAAAAATGGGGTTTGAAGAGAAATGGATCAACCTGGTTATGAGCTGTGTTTCCACAGTTTCCTATTCGGTTTTGGTGAATGGACATAAGTCAGAATGCTTCTATCCAACCAGAGGGCTTCGCCAAGGTGACCCATTATCACCATACCTATTTTTACTATGTGCTGAAGGTCTCACAACTCTAATAAAAAAAGCTGAGAAGGAAGGTAAATTACATGGTACTCAACTAAGAAAGTGAGCCCCTAATATTTCCCACCTCCTATTCGCAGATGACAGTGTGGTTCTTGGGAAGGCAACTACAAAGGAATGTGATGAGCTCAAGAGGATTCTAAAATGCTATGAAAAAGAATCTGGCCAACTGATCAATTTTAACAAGTCAGACATCTCTTTTAGTAACAATGTTAGGGCTAGTCGAAGACTGGAAGTCTGTGGGACGTTGGGGATTAAGGAAGTTGCCAAACACCCCAAGTATTTGGGCCTTCCCACCATTGTGGGAAGATCGAAGAAGCTTATGTTTGGAGAAATCAAGGAAAGGGCCAGAAAGAAATTGAAAGACTGGAAAAGTAGAACTTTGTCTCAGGCTGGGAAGGAAATAATGATCGAAGCTGTGGCTCAAGCTCAGGTTCTTTATCCTATGATGGTTTTCTTGATTCCTGAAGGGACTCTAATGGAAATTCAGAAGATGATCTCTAATTTCTGGTGGGGGCGGAAAGGGAAAGAACCAAAACATCATTGGCTGAAGTGGGAAACTCTTTGTGAAGAGAAGTAAGTTGGTGGTATGGGATTAAAAAACCACCAAGTTTTTAATCAGGCTATGCTGGGTAAGCAAGTTTGGAATGTGATTTCTAGACCAAACTCCCTAATGGCCAGAACTCTTAAAGCCAGGTACTTCCCTAGAACTGACATTCTTAATACTAAAATGGGCTATAACCCCAGTTTCATCTGGAGAAGCATCATGACTGCTAAGGAGAAGATCAAGGAGGGTTTTAGGTGGCATCTAGGAGATGGGGAATCTATTCGGATCTGGGAGGATCCTTGGATACCAGGAAAGAGCTATTTTTTTTGCGGATCCTCAGCCTAATGCTGTGAATCCAAATGAGTTGGTTTCTGAACTCATTGACAAGGAGAGAGGCATTTGGGATCATAATAGGTTGGCAGGGAAGTTCTCGAGGTTGGATTGCGGCCTTATTTCTAAAATCCCTCTTAGAAGGCCCCTGAGGAGCGATTCTAGGGTTTGGATTGACTCAGATGATGGGAAGTACTCGGTGAGATCAGCTTACAACAGAATCCTAGAGAGTCGTATCCACAACACGACTTCTCGCAATCTTATCACAGACGAGGAAACAAAGTTTTGGAATAGTCTATGGAAAACCTCTATCCCTCCTAAGGTTCGAATGTTCATCTGGAGGATGGGAAGGAACATCTTACCAGTGGGTTGCAACATCGAAAAGTGGAATAAGGATGCTGGCTTGGATGGCCCTTCTGTGGAATGCCTGAAGATCAATTGCATGCTCTGAGGGAGTGTAGCTGGGTTCACCGCCAATGGAGTACCTGGGAAGGAAAAGGGTTATTCGAACTGGGAGAAGGAAGAACTTGCATGGAATGGTTAAGAGAAATCTGGAGCAGCTCAAGTTCGGATCAGATACAACAATTTAGCATGATTCTTTGGTATCTCTGGAAGGAAAGGTGTAATCACCTCTTTAACAATCGCAAGATCGACGAGGACCAGATTATTCCGAAGGATCTTGGCTGGTTGGAAGCGTTCTTGGAAGCTTAGGACCCACCCACCTCCAGCTCTATGGCCCAGAATCAGCAAAGCAGTTCCAGTGCTTCTTCTGGCTTGATCCCACCTCCAGAGGGGGTCTTTATGCTTAATTCCGATTCGGGTGTTCTGAATCAGACGTGTGTTGGCTTTGGTTGTATCATTAGAGACTGGGAAGGGAAGTTTTGTGGCGCGATGGCGAAGAAAGAAAGAGGATCGTGCAGACCCATTGAAGCTGAAGCAAAAGCGATTGTGATGGGGCTTTGTGAAGCGAATAGAAGGGGTCTCAGCCCTTTGATGGTGGAATCGGATTGCCAATTGTTGATCGGGAAGCTGGAGAAGGGGGAAACTGATTTTTCGGAACTCGGTGTCTAGTGCGAAGAAATCAAGAAGCTGGCAAGATGCAACGAAGGATTCTCTGGTGTTGCTGTGAAAGGGTATTTTACACCAAGGAAAAATAAAGCAACGGCCCATAGGTTGGCCCATTCTATTTCGGGTTGGGACAGACAAGTTGTTTGGGTTGATAATCCCCCTTTGAACCTCTTATGTTTGTTGGAGGCTGATTTGGGTGGGCTTGATTGTAACATACCTTAATCTCGTTGGAATATAAAGCCCACAGATTCCCATAAAAAAATATTGACACATAAATCCCAGCGAGTCCGCCTGAGACTCAGGTGCGGCCTCTAGTTTTTGATTTTTCAATAAATCCCAGTGGCGGCGCCCGAGACTGGGGCGTTGGGCCTTTTATAAAGCTTCAGCGTTGACCCACGAGACTGAGGCGGGTTCGCTGCCTCCCTCATCCACTCCAGCACCATATATACTCTCACATTTCCTTCAGTTCTTCACCACCCAAAAAATCAACAAAGTTTTAGACGACAGAAGCTCTGGTTGCTGTCTGGTTGCTGGGAAGATGGCTAATAATAGGTAAGAGACGTATTTATTTTTTTAATTATATATTCTTCAAATGCTATAATGATTTTGTTTAGTTAGTAATTAGTGATTTTGTTTTTTATGTAGTGATTTTAGAAGATTTGAATTAGCTGTTCGGTGGAAATCAGAGAAAGTAGAGGACAATTTGGGCGTCCATTCCGTTGGTAGTAGAAGTTTTCAGTTGACTGTTCCATACAGGGTGAACTATCAGAAACTTTGTGATAATCTAATTCAGAGAATACGGCGTAAAAACGAAGCAGTACAAGATAGTAATGTGATTACAAGTTTCACTTACTGTCTTCCAGAATGGCAGAATGGTGTTTTATTTCATTATGCGATGCCTATTATGGATGATGATAGCTTGAATGTGCTGTGGAATTTTATGGCACAAAACCCTTATTGTTTGGGTGTTGAGATACATGTTGAGCTCAGTGAGGATCAGGGTGGAGAGGAAGAAGATGACACATGGAGCGTGCCATCCGAGCATGACTATGATGACAGTGATGACGGAGAGGAGGAGGAAGAAGAAGAAGAAGAAGAAGAAGAAGAAGATGATGATGATGATGATGATGAGGAGGAGGAGGAGGAGGAAGGAGAACAACCTAATTATCCTCCATATTTTTACTTGCAGGGTAATGAAGAGGACAACAAATTATTATATGTTGATTCATATGGCGTAATTCCAATTCCTATTGTTGCTGGTTTTGATGGAGAATTCTACAAGGGGCAGATATTTCACTCAAAACAAGTTGCATAGGTGGAGATTAAACACTACGCACTACAACGCAACTGACACGCCAAAACACAACACCAAACTGCGACCAAGTGTAATCGCAGTCCGGGAATGCAGTAAAGTGGCAAGTTCTATTATCAACCCGGGGTCTAGATCTACTGCTTACTCCGTGATTATCTATTATCTAGCCAACTAAGTTAAGTGATTGGTTGTTTTAAAGAAAAAGCAGTAAGAAAGCATGAATTGGTACGTTTTCTCAAGCAAAGAAGAGTCACTCAGGAATGAGTCCTCCTATCTCATTAGTTAGGTCTCAATTGTAATACCCTGGGTTGATTTACTGTTGATTAGACTGCGGAAGATCCGACAGTAGCTTGGAATCTCTTAAGCTGACCAAGCCCTCTCAGTCTAACTACCCGGCAGACGACTAGTCTTCACCGGGATAGAAAGCCGAAGCAATAAGCATAGAACTCCACTACTGGAATTGGATTCCAGTACAAAGCAGTAAACTGGCTAACTCTCGTATAGCCAATCTCCTACTACCAAATGATGAGGCTCTAACAACCTAATCAGATTCTATCTATCTTAGGTTGCAGCAGAAATCAAGAAAAGCTGATCAGACTTCAATCAATTCAATAAACATGCATCATTCGATTAAAACCAAGTAGTAATATCATCCCAAGTCATTACAATCAAATCCCTAACACATGGAACTAGGGTTCTTCATACCCAAGTAGAAGGGTTCTACTCCATAGAGAGAGAGAGAGAGAGAGAGAGAGGGAAACAGAATACAGAGTAGTCATACTCATAAAGATGAGGAAAATCTACTCTGGGATGATGATTTCCACTCCTATGATGATCTCCAAGCTCGATTTGATGAAACCCAGCTCCAAGATAGCTTCTAGGATGTGTTCTTCGTGCTTTCTCTCTCTAGGGCTATGTTTTTGCTCTGAAAATCCCATTCTCTCACTTGCAGCCCGAAATTGGGTAAAAACCAGAAATTTCCGACTCACACGGGCAGGCCACACAGCCGTGTGGCATACCCAGTTGCCCGTGTGAGGTCAAAACGCCGTGTTCCGATTATTTGGGTTTCAGGCTTCCTACACGGCCAGGGTCACACGGCCGTGTAGCTCACCCAGCCTGGCCGTGTGAAGCCTCGCAGAATTCCACACGGCCAAATTGCAACTTCACACGGCCCTGTGGAATTTATTTGTGCCCGTGTGAAGCCTCGCACAATCCCACACGGCCTCCTTGGTCACTTGCACGGCCGTGTGGGTTTTGTGTGTGCCCGTGTGGCTTCCTCAGCGACTCGCTGCGCGTCCGATCTTCGTCCAATCGACCCCGAACTTGCTCCCAAGCCTTCATTCACTTACTAGGACCTGAAATATCACAAACAAGCACAACCTAGCGTGAAATCGGCCTAAAACACGAGAATCAACACCTCAAACGGCTCCAGAATAGGGGTAAAAACATGTGCAATTAACAGCTTATCAAACTCCCCCACACTTAACCGTTTGCTTGTCCCCAAGCAAACCAAGTCAGACACAAGGTAAGCTCACATAATTCAATCATACCAACATTAGGGACAAATCATATAGGCACAGAAACACGTGAATCATACTGGCTTTCAAAAATCAACACATGAACAACCTCAATAGCACCCTGGACAACCACTACAGAAGACATTCGAGTGCAGCAAAATCGAGTAAAGGAGGAGTCTCCCTTCTGTTCATCAACCAACCTAGACTTGACTCAACCACTTACTCAAGACAGTCAACTCATGCATAAAACTCAAGATATCAGAATAGAGACCGAGCAATCTAGGTCCTCACCGGGTAAAGAGTGTAAAGAACAAGGAAATGAATCGCTCACTCTCGACCAGTGGGGTCAGGACAATTTGATGCGAAAAATGTGCATACATGTTCTCTCAATTCCTAACATCTCTTCACCATGACGGCAGCCTCTAAATGTTAGAGTTCACATAAATGGTTGTCATCACTAACTAATCAGGAGGTCTTAGACACAGGTTCAAGTGACTGACTAGGGTCTTGGACATGGGGAAAAGGCCTTTTAGGTGGTGGAAGTATTCGTAGCACAAGGTTCCACAATTCCAAACCCAACACAATCACAGTCAATCAAACCACTTGCTTTCTTTCTGCCATTCTGCATTACTCAAATTCTTACGAGCACACGAGCAAAGGAGGTTATATAAATGTCAGCACTTCCAAGCCAGACTGCTAAGAAACACTACTTAATGGGAACTATTTAGATTTTTGGTGGTGGCTCTCTTTTGCTTTCATTTTTTCTTTCATTTTTTTCATTTCTTAAGAGAACCACCACCTCTGCACATTTTTCAAATACCTGCCCAACTTTTTAAGCACTACCTCCAACCCTCACATTATATTTAGCAGAAACAGCAGAGAACATGTAAAAATCACTCTGTGGAACCTTCTAAAAGATGAAAAAGGGTGACTTTTCATTGAAGACCGAAAGAAAGGATAACACACGGCTCAAAGGGGCTGACTAGGGGGTATGACACACCAGGACAGTCAATTTGGTCGTGGGCTAATCCTATGCCTCCATCATCTTAGCTAATGACAACGTGAATGCTACACATCATGGAAGAGGGAACTATCGCACAAGAAAGAAACGAGCAGGCTCAAATCTCACATGGCTACCTATATGCCCTATCTCTCATTCTGATTCCCTGAACTAGATGCATAAGAGACTGTAAAAAACAAGTAATCAATCCAAGTCACAGTTGGTAAGCAAACAGTTGAAAAACTGAACCCTACACAATTCTACTGCACGTCTCAGTCATCATTATAGGTTTTCCTAGTCACCATCCAGTTGTCATGCATTAATCCGAAAACCATTCAATTCACCAATCAAAACACAGTGCCAATATGATCAAACAGCCGTACTTGGAGCCCTCAAATCTCGAGATTTGGACAGTGGACTAGGCTCCAAGCACACGTATATAAATTCCAACCGATACAAAGCACCCCCCCACACTTAAGAACGACATTGCCCTCAATGGAGCAGAGGGATAGAGAAGGGGAACGACGTTACCAGATTGAAATGCTGTGGGAGACTGGAAGTGGACCAGTCAGCGGGGGACAAATGGAACGAACGGGCATTTCTGCACTTAAAGGAACATCAAGAACACACTAGCACATGTTCGTTAGGGATCAGAGTTGGCCCAGATGGCCACAAAAAAAAACAATCCACAAAAAAGAAAAGAAACAAAACACACGACAAACTCAGTTCAAGCTTCGCAAACACATGGAGCAAACAAAAAAAGTCTAAAACAAAAACACACACTGAGGGGCGACAAGTACAGCCTACTCGTCGCCAAGGTTGTCCAGATCGATGTCATTCATGAATGCATCATCATCATCAGCTGGTGGAGGTGGAAGTGGAGAGTCCTCCCAGGGAGTCATCCAGACTGGCTGCTCGCCCGGTAGTAGCTGGAGCAGATGCCCCTGGACCTCCTGCATGCGCCTAGCTCGGGCCTGCTCCCTCTTAATGCGCGCCAAGGTCACCCCCTGCTGGGTCTCCATCCTATTAAGGCGTTCATCATACGCAGCCATCCGGGTCTGGTACTCGGCATGGTGAGCCGAATACTGCTGCTGAAACTGGAGCTGATAGTCGTAGAGCTGCTGATTCTGGAGACGCAGCTGCTCGAACTGCTGAGTGAAGTAGTCCTGGCCGGGGAAGGTGGAACTGCCACCCCCGTACTCGAAGGTGGTGGGGCGGGCGGCAGCAGTATCATCCACATCCTCGGGATGGACCTCCTCATCAGCCGCACCCTCGAGAACCTCCGGCTGGACCTCCTCTGGGATCTGAGGTTGAGGAAACCCCTCGATCCACATAACAACACGCTCTTCTTGAAGTAGGTGCATTTTACTGATCGTAAAACGGCCAAAGGCACTGGTGTCTCCCTGCTCTGTGCACCCCTGCAGTGATATCTGGAAGTAAGTGGCCAGGCGGGTGATGAGGGGAGTGCAGTGGAGTTTCTTCAGCTCGGAAGCACTCTTGTCGAAGGTCCTTGCCACCACCAAGCCCAAGTGGAGGGGATGATCCCTCTGGCGCATAGACTGGATGAAGTACATGGCTCTTTTGGTGATGGCGGTGGCACTGTCCGAGGCTGGGGTGTAAGACTTGGCCAGCATGTGATGGAGGATACGGTTGTCGAGCTGGAATGTGCTGGCCTTCGTCTTCCCCGCCCTGAAGGGAAGCTGACCTGGTCGAGCGAGGCGGGTGTACAGTGTCCCGAAGTCCACCCCCGCTGGCTCGGTGCTCTCGGTGATGTAGTCCCTGTCATCGACCAGGTTGAGGCCGAGGGCGGTCGCCAGCTCGTTGTAGCTCATGGATCGTGGTTCACCGTCGAGCCTGAATTTGACGGCTTCACCGTCCTTTTAATCCTCCGTGTCTGCGTGCTTGAAGGTAGTATAGAACTCAAGCACGAGCTCGTGGTAAACCTTCTCGCGAATGCTGAGTAGGCAGCGCCAGTAGCGGTTGGTGACAATGGAGGAGAAGTGCTCGTAGCAGTTTAGCTTCTCCAACTCTCGCTTGGACCAGCAATGATGCTGCCCAAACTTACTGGCCAGGACGTTCTTAAAACGATCCTGGTGGGGCCCCCTTCTCAAATCTTGAACAAACTGGTGCCGGAGGTTGGGATTCGTCATGGTCCTGCAAAAGAACAACCCAAACACTTAAGAACAGAAAACAGCCTAACCATGGTTGCATCCATAGTTCGGGGGTCAAAAACTCGATAAATCAAGCATAATCTGAGTGGGGGTGCACATCCATGAAAAAGTAGGCAACTCAAGGTTCACATCCATAGCAAACACACCCTCAAAGCACATCATTAAGGGCTCCAACCGACTCCCACAAAATGGTACGAAAACAGGCATTTTATCGAACACCTTGTGTGCACTATTAAGGTAAATATGGAATTGACAAAATTCTTGCTCACAAGGGCTCAAACAAGCAAGGGGGACATTGCCCAACACAATTCATACATAATCCAAGCATTCCCCTCAATCAATTGCACACAATTCACATGATTCAAAGAGGTTCTCTAAACATGCACCCTAACACCCAATTCTCCATAAAAAACATAGTTAAGGTCAAAATCAAACCTGGAGACTCAAGTAGAGGTGTAGGGGATGATGAGGGGAAGGCAATGGAAGCGACGAAAGGCCGAAAAACTGCCCGGAAGTGTTCGTCGGAGCCTCGCCGGAGTCT